GCCGCTAGTGCTCATGGTCATGGCAGGGGGACTCGTGCTTGTGGCACTCAAGCTTCCACTCAAGCTCCAGCCGATCCTCCTCCACGTGTTGGTGCCATGGCTCGATAGTTTGTGCTAGGCCTTGGAGATGTGCCTGTCGTGGATCCTGCTGAAGAAGCCCTCAATCAAGCTGGCAGGACCATCGCTGTTGATGTGTGTACTATGACCCCACCTACTGGTCTAGGTTACTTTGGGGTCAGCCGTCTGGTTCCCTTTCAAGGCCCCCTTCAGCGCACACCAAATCTAGCAAGTGGTTACATTCCACACTTGATGGTTGATTATCATCACAAGGTGTTTGAGATTCATCGTCAGCGTGCCCAATCTCTCAATATTGAGCCCCAATCTCTCAATATTGAGCCCAAGGATTTGAGGATCGAGTATAGGTTCTGGCAACCCTTTCACTTTGATTTCTATTATCACTTGGTCTACCTTCGTTACCTCAGAAAGCGAGAGCCTCCAGTGATTCAAATGAAGTACATTGACACTTATTGCCTTGGTTAGTTGCCTGAATTAGAGCTTAAGCAGATGGTCTGTGACTTGAAGAGGATGGGGCTTGAGCCATTGATGGAGTTCCGCAAGCCGTGGAACAATGAGTGGATTTGTTAGTTCTATGCATCCTATGACCTGGACACTACCGGAGACACTCAGGTCATTGATTGGACCATTGAAGGTTGATTTTCCTACTTTTGCTCGCCTTCTTGGTTTGGACCACAAGGATCGCCGGTCTACCACCATTACTGAGATTCCGACTCTTGCTATGAACGAGTATCAGTATATGTACTTGAAGGGTCATCGGGCTAATGGTTAGATAGTTTGGTTTAAGCCATACTACTATGTGTTGAACAACATCCTTCGTCAAATATTGTATCCCAAAAGTGGTGACTCTACTCATCCACGTGATGACTCACAGGTTGTGCTTGACTACTCCAGCGATGAATTCACCAAGTTCTCCATGAGTTGTTAGCTTTGGAACAAGATCTTCTAGGCTAGTGAGGATGTGGTGAAGCACTTCCCTTATGCTCCCTATATAATGCATATCATTGAGCAAGTGTCAGGCCTCAGCTTGGCTATGGACGCCCCTCATCGAGTGCTCAAAGTTTCCAACAAGATGTCCCTTTAGGCAAAGAAAGAGTTGGAGAAAGCTGCTAAAGGCAAAGGACAAGGTGCTTTGGGTTCCTCCTCCTGTGCTTCTCCACCTCGTGCTTTGCGCTCTCGCCATGCTCATAGTGAGGAGCTTCAGTCCTCATCCTCCTTCGGTAACAAGCCCCCTAGCAAGTTCAAGTTCTTCATGAAGTACATGTTTGGGGCTTGTTGTGCTAGTGCTGAGCGGGAGCAAGAGATGTTAGTGAGGATGCATCGCATTGAGCAGAAGCTTGACATTCACTCCGCACCTCCTCGGGACTTGGAGTCACTTGGTGATCCTTTTGAGATTTATGATGAGGCTTGCAAGGAGTACTAAGGTGAGTCGTCCAATCCGCCTCGTCACCATGAAAAGCAACACGTTGATGTTGATGACGAGGAGTACCACAAGGAAGACGATGATGACGACAACGATGGTGATGATGGTGGTGACCGTGATGACGAGGATGAGTAGTTGTTTCTTTCACGTGGCCTACCCCTTTTGGCACTTGCTGACAAAGGGGAGTGTTAGGCTTTGATCTTATTGTAATAAGTTAGTTGGTCATTTGAGTTCAAGACTTTAAAACCTTTTAGCTTGTATGAACTATGTCGTGTGGTGGCACTATGTGATGGACAACTATGTATTTGTGTGATGGATGATTGCAGGACAAGTAATGCTTATCTATCTTATTAGCTATTGTGTTTGTCTCTACTTGTGATTGGTGGTTGTTATATTTTGGATGGCCATATGTTGGTTAAAGTTTTTACTTTGTAATCTTGGCCATCATTTTCTTTTATTTTTTTGTGAATATAACATGTCATATTGCATATCTTTTTCACGGTTTGTTCACTCACTTGTTGCACCCCACGGATTGCAAAATTTAGGGGGAGCTTTTTGACTTGATATATGCAAATGAGGTATAAATGATCATCATTGAAATTCAAATTCATTGCATATATTAAGGGGGAGCTCTTCATAAATTTTGGGGTTCAAAAGCTTTAAATTCTTTCATTCTTATAAAAGCTTAAGTTCATTGTCATCAATTACCAAAAAGGGGGGATTAAAAGTGCATTTGCCCCCTATGTGGGTTTTAGTGTATTGATGACATCCAAATTAGGGACTAATGAGATCTTAATGAGATTTATCGCAGCTTTAGTCCCATGAAAGAATCAAAGAGTTGTTTTATAAAATGGTGTCCCTCAATTCTTGATGTATAAAAGGCCGATGAACTCAAAACGGACTTCAAAGTTTTTATCTTTTGTTTTGGGTTTAGGTTTAAAAGAGGGATGCAAGTTTAGGTGGTCTGAGGAAGATAGAGTGTTCAAGCATAAAAATAAAATCAAAATAGAGACACTCAAGCACCTCACAAACACTTAGATATAGTTTTTGGGACTTTGCCCGTCGGAAGTCCTGGCTCCCGCCGGAAGTCCCAAGTTCTTGGGACTTAGTCGCCTTGCTCGGCTGGCCATCGGAAGTCCTGACAGCCGCTGGGAGTTCTAACTCCAGCTGAGCTAGCCCAACTATCTACACATATGAACAGTATTTTCTTTAGCCACCGGAAGTTCTGGCGATCTATGTCGGAACTTCCAACACAGATCTGAAGGGTTAAATTTTGCCTATGAGTATAGATAGCTCTCTCATCTCTTCTAACCATCATGCACTCATTCATTATGACCTAACTCTGTCCAAAAGAGCTTCCAAGCATTCAAAGCTCCCCTCTCCTCTCCCCTTTGCTCCTAACTTTGATTTTCCTAAGAATTTGAGTGAAAGGAGAGTAGATTCAGTGAGAGAATCACTTTGGCAAGCTTGAGCACTTGATTTTTTTGTCAAGCCTGTTGGATTTGCGTCTATTACTCTTGAAGCTTTGCTCCTAGCTAGCTAGGCGTCGCCCAAGAGCTTCCATCTTATAGAAGAGCCTTGGGAAGTTTGTATTACCCTTGATTTCTTAGTGGGAAGCTCAAATGACCTTTGTGGTTGCTTTAAGAGAGGCAAGGAGGTGGAAGAGACTCCAACCTTTGTGGTCACCTCAACATGGACATAGGAGCTCCTTTATGGGGTTACCGAACCTCGGGATAAATCCTTGTGTCCCGCGTGCTTGTTGTTGTGATTTGTGCTATCATATTTGTTCTTGGTTGTTTCTCTTCTCTCCAAGCACTTCTTAGGGTCTGGACTCGATCTACAGAGTTGAAGCATTTTGGCATCATGGGAGTGACTCTACGTATCTACCTAACCACTTGGAAGTGGGGTTGTAAGAAATCTCACACTAAAAGTTCATTTTAGCACTTGTAGTAAAAATCACGTAGGAGTCGGAACTCCTGGCTGTTTGGGACGGAAGTTCCGGCTCAAACTGCCGAGACTTCCAACAGTCGCTGACATTTGACTTTGAGTTTGTGTAGAATTTTTTAGATACATCTATTCACCCCCTCTAGGCATTGTTTAGATCCTTTCAAGTAGTGCGATCTTATGTGCAGCAAGCATGAGATGTCCGATATGCCAACTCAAATCTTGAGGGGGCAATCTTCTGGTTCCTGTTAGTGCTAAAACTAAAAAGGGCTACCATTTAGCATCATCTAAGAGAAAAAACAGTACACCAGTGCAAGTACAATAACATGTGTATCCCATTTTATTATAAAATTAGGTGGTGCCAATAGGAAGAACCTCCCCATCTTTAATCCCACCATGCAGTGAGCTGCTTGCCACATGAGGATCCATCTAAAATATAGCAGAAAAAATCCTTAAGTTCTAGATAACTATTTAAATAAATCACATAAACCCGGTAGGCAGAACTAACATCTTGTTAACATAATGCATGCCTCCCTGATTATTAACCCACAATTGAAGTAACTTAACCATATCAGCCTTCCTGGTTTTCATGGCAGCTGTAAGGACTCAATAATCTAAGCTAGTTTTCAAATTAGTAGAAATCCACCCTATTGTGGTCGAGAACTTCACAGAATGTCTCATGGATTTTTCAACAAACAAAATAAATGGTAGGGTCATGTTCAACTCATATTTATCGAGTTTATCTGCAAAGTAGATATGGATTCCGTCAAGAAACAAACACCATTTTTAGGCAAATGCTAAATCAAGAAACAAACAGCCCAAACATGCATCAGTGATTGTCACTTACCTCCCTGGGCATGAAGATTCATGGCCCCTTCCACTACCACAATCCCGAATTGCCTTGAGTGTCAAAAACCTCCAAGGAAAGGGCTTAACCGCCAAGGAAATGATCTTTGTCCACAAACTATCAAGCAAATGCACTCAAGAATAGAAGACAAGGGAAATTAGTTTCCTTGACGGTTTTGACACTCAAGGATAATTTCCTTGGAGTCTGGCCGCCAAGGAAACTACAACCAGACTTAATTTGCCGAAGAGTCAAGGAAATGTTGCAACCGCCAAGGAAAGAAGTTTTCTTGGGGGTCGACAGCCGCCAAGTAAATTAATTTTCTTGAGGGTCGACAACCTCCAAGGAAACACGCTAGACCGAAAAGGTAATTGTTGTTTCCTTGGCTGCTCTTCACCTCCAAGGAAATTAACCGCCAAGTTAACTCTGATTTCCTTGAGGGCCGGCCCCCAAGGAAATCTACACCGGTTGCAGTAATCAATATATTCTAGTCACTATATTCAATTGACACATGATAACATGCATAGAGACATTTATTCTGGCCCCTAATCATTATATTGATGTAAAATATCCATGCGGATATTACAAGTGCATTTACGATTCATCCTTACATGAAGTCCATACATCATAACACACGAGTCATTAAAAGTCAAGGTGGTAGGGGTATTACTAACTCCTTATCAAGCCCTCCACCACACAATCTTTTGGTCTAAGTCATAGATTTGCTGGTTTCATACCTACATAAGAAAATAGAACAAAGAATCAATTACTAAGATCTATGGATCTTGAATGAGAACTTTCAGTGAGTCTCTAGTCACTACTTCCAGTTTTTTTGCTGGTTACATTTTATTATGTTGATGCAGAGGAATTGCATTACAACGGCATACTAGCAAAGTACTCCCTCCGTCCAGGAAAGAATGCAATTATGGGATCCGTGTCAGTCAAAGTGACTCAAGTTTGACCGAGTTTATAGTAAATGATATTAGCATTTATGTCTCCAAACAAAATTTATTATGAAAATATATTCTATAACTAATCTAACTATACTTATTTTATATCATGAATGATAGTAGGTTTTAATATAAGTTTAGTCAAATTTTAAACAGTTTGACTCCTCGAAAAGCGAGAATTGCATTCTTTCCTGGATGGAGGGAGTAATGTCATCTTTGCTTTACTTAACATGTAATGATTAATTAGTACTACAAGAATTCAGTAAATAATAACAGGCAAGAACTGTCATTTAACATGACAGAAGAAACAAGCTGTGGTGAGTTGAGAAAGTTTGCATCTTTGGACACAACTGAGTGTTAGGAGTATTTCATTATAACATATTTCTTGCAATCACTTGTACTTTAGATTAGACCGGGACAATACACATTGGCATTTTTTTGCAGGGTATACACATTGGCATTTGAACACACAGCATACAATTTTATTAAGAGAGCCATGAGACCCTAAGTACAGAAATGTAGTATTCTTGCTTGTATGAGGGGCACAGAGCAGAGATGCGGTTAAACTAATGGCGATATAAGAAAAATCTTTACTGACCATTCTGCAGTAATCCAGGATGAAGGAGCATGTGTTCATACACTTCTAGATAGATAGCTTGATACATATCTGCAATCCAGCGAGCTGATATCTGCAATACAATCAGTGTGTCGTGATCAATCAAATAAGCTTCAGAAAAAAAACAATAGTTAAACAATATATTCAATTAGTACAGAACTATAATTGACGAGGCTGTGGACTACTATTAGCACATGAGCGAGATTTTAAGAGTTACTAGTATTAGCAAATGGAGTACCAGGAACAGATCAAAACCCAGCCAAAATTACTCATCAACATGGCTAAAACAGTGGACTAGGCTCAAAGAAAGTAAAGACGAAGGCTAAGCAGGTTGATGAATGGGGCTGGGCTACAAGGTTTCATGAACCTTCATCAAATTCAGTAAAACAAGACACTAGTCTGTTACTAGGTGCCAATACAGGAGTGTAGCTAAATTCCTCTGTCATCAAGGTGCTCATATCAGAATGCATATCCGGAATTCAGAGAAAAAAATATTCATGCTACAATAGAGATGTGAAGAAAAAATATTATCACAAGGAGAAGAACTGAAAGACTACAATTCCTGTCACATGCGGAAAATGAAATGAGTGAAACCATGTGACTGAAACATGGAGCTTACACTAGAACATGCGAGGGATGCCGGGGGGAGGGGAGGCACAATTACCATACTATCCTTCGATGCAAAAAGTTAATTAGAGCTAATAACGTGCTTAGGAACCAAGAGGAACCAAGAAGTACCCCCAACCACTGTAAAAGATCTCTAATAGGAAACATGTTACTAACAAGGCAATAGGAAACATGTTACTAACAAGGTACTGGGTAGTAGCATGAAAAACTAGTTGCAGATTGTAGCATGAAAAACACAGTGTCTTACTTTTCCCTTACAGTCTTCATGACTTGGGCATAACAAGAAACTGCTCCTGGGTCATCTCGATCAACAATGATCTTTTCCTTTTTAAGTACAGCAAGAGCTGTTTCAAACATCTTTACCTCAAAGAATATGCCCTTATGGAGATCTTGATAACAGCAAAGAGTGAAGTTAGGAATGAAAATTAAACTCCAAAAGTTTGTAACACATAAAAAGCAGTATTCTGATTATTGTTTTGTATATACAACAAATAAAGAAAAATTGTACATGACAGACTTTAAAGTAAGAGCCTGTTTGGATCCCAATTGGATTATGGTAATCTGTATTATGGATGAGCTTATAATAATCTGTATCCCAAAAGCCACATGAACCAAATATAGCTCCAGCAGCATTACCAAATAAACTGAGTAACACAAACATAGGAGCCAGTATAGAAGGTGAAGCGCCAATAACAGAACATATGCTGACACTAAATGACCCAAAACTGAAAATAAACTGAGTAACACAAACATAGGTTGAATATTGTGAGATTGTCAATTATATATAGTTAATTGTTTTTGTCTAATTTTTAAATATGTAGGAAGATGCTTCTAAACTAACATGAAAAAATGTATCTTGTATACCCAATATATTTTTCAAATGTAATATGCTATATATAAGTTGTTGTGGAGGAGTTTTAAGTTATTTTGAATAGATTTTCTATTTTCTATAGTTTAAATTAATTTTTGTGTGTTCATTTAAAGTAATAGTAAATTGAACTGTCCGTACCTCCAGAAATATTCAAAAGATTCATAAAAATATATTTTGGCTCATATATTTCACTCTAGCCCATATCTTGGAGTTAGACAAAAAAAATTCATTTGTTTGCTAGGGATAATTCATAGTTCTATCTCCAAATTACCATAAGATAATTATAATAATATCTAAACTTTGTTAGAAAATTCTACAAACTTGCATGACAACATGGCTTTGGTGTATAATCTTTACATAAAAAATTGAATGATTTAAACAAAGTGGTACTATACATTGTTCACAAGTGGATATATCTCTCAAATAATTATAACTATGTGAGAGATATCTCCATTTGTGAATAATGTATAGTCTAACTTTGTTAATATGATTTAAAAATTTTATGCCAAGATAGTACAATATGATCTCATGCCAAATTTTAGGATTTTTGGACACCATAAAGATATTATTGTTTTTTATGTCAGAGTCACCAAAATACTTATAAGCATTTCCTTAGCCGCCAACCTCCAAGAAAATTCAATAACCCCCAAGAAAATGATAATTTACTTGATGGTTTAGAATAATACCCAAGAAAAATATTTTTCTTGGCGGTTAAGAACAACACTCAAAGAAATAGTAGTTTCCTTGACTGTTTACAATTACACTCAAGGAAATATATTATTCTCTTGGAGGTGATTGGAAACCGCCAATGAAACACCCATATTCCTTGGCGGTTTACTTCAACCCCCAAGGAATATATGTTTCCTTGAGAGTTCAGTAGCACCACCAAGGAAACTATATATTCCTTGGCGGTTTGATTTTAGCCCTCAAGAAAATTCCTAGCACTCGAGGTAATTCCAGTTTCCTGTAGTGTTCCAGCTGGGGCATCTCGAAATCAAACTGCCACCCATATACGATGCTCTCACAGCTAACATAGGGGAAGCAAAGCCCAGTGACAATTATTTAAAAGTGGCAGATAACAGAAGAGCTTAAATGGACCTCTTGGTTTCAGCAGGGACAAACATTGTGAATAACATGATGATTATCTGGGTCCAAAGCATCAGTTACTGATCCAGGAATGCACATATTCAAAAACTTTACCCTACGTACAGAGATCAACAGAACCACATCATCAAAACACGGATAGTCAAACACCGTTCTTAGAATGGACAAGAAAAACAGTAAACATCAACGATAATCAGATTGAGTTAGGAACCTAGGACAACCGGATCCAAAGGGCCCCAAGGAGCGGACCTTCTTCATGAGGAGTAGATTGAGAGGGAGGGAGGCAAGCCAGCGCTGGCGGCGCCATCGGGAATCCTAGGCCGACCTGATCCAAAGGACCCCGAGGAGCGAGCGGCTGACATGGGTGAGGAGGGAAGACCAGAGCAATGCAGATGCGGCGCGCGTCTGGAGGAAAAGGGGCAGCGGCGGCGGCATGGGCGAGCGATGGAGCGGCGCGGCGCGTGTGTGGGAGGAGAATATGCGGCGTCCGGGAGAAGTGAGCAATCGACGGAGTTTTTTTAACCTTTTTTCGGCCTAGCCTGGTGGCCGACGGACGGCATGTACTACCGTACTGGCGGCCAGCGGCCTAGTATCCTTGGCCGGCGCCCTCTCGTTTTGGCTTGGTGGTAGGCGCCCTTGCTTCGTGGCCGACACTACTAGAAATATTCACTTTTATGATAAAAATCTTAATGATAAATTCGAAACCGTTATAAAAATCATTTTTTATGACGAAAATTTTGGTTTCGTCATAGATCATCGGAGACAATCCTCGAACCCCCTTTATCTATGATGAAATCAGGTATCGTCATAAAAAACGTCACATAACAACATATGATTTCATCACAGATCACTCGCGTGACTGTTCCTGCTCATCTATGACGATCTTATTCAGAACTGTGACGAACAGGGCTTCGTCATTGAACTAATTACTGATCTGTGACAAACAATATTCGATCTGTAATGACGGCACTTCATCATAGATCTCCACATGGTACTTTCTCCATCCGACGAGTACCTGTGAGACCTGTAGTTACTCATCCGTTACACTTACAATTTGTCATAAAAGTCTCCGCTCGATCCTTTCTCCATGCGATGTGTACCTATGGGACCCTTCTCCATCAGACCCGTGGAACCTGATGACTTACGTGTCACGTGTACCTATGGGGCCTTTCTCCATCTCCATCCGACCTACGGGGCCTGACAGCTTGCATGTCACTTGTGCTTGTGGACCCTTCTCCATCCGACTTGTAGGACTCGACGGCATCTTTCTTCATCTCCATCCGACTTGTGGGATCCAACGACTTACGTGTCATGTGTCCAACTTGTGGGACCCAATGGCACATTTCTCCATCTCCATCCGACCTGTGGGACCCGACGGTTTGCGTGTCACTTGTTGCCGCCGGGGTTTAATAAATTCAAACTCAAAAAAAACCATGAGAGCTAGGAGTCGAACCCAGGACCTAGAGCAAGGAATAGACCGTCTTCACCATTGTGCTAGACGCTTGGTTGTCTTGACATGTCTTTGGAGTAGTATATGTTCTCTATGTGGATAGGTTGACTTATATATTAGATATATCCCTTGCAAGTGGAAACAAATTTGTGCCCGTGGGACTTGCGATGGCAGCGCCAACGGAGGATCCCTAGTGTGTTGTGGTGGCTCAAGCGCCCTTTTGGAGGTTGGACGGCGGGTCTTCTTGGTGGAGCATGGTGGCATTGGCGTCCGTGTCCGTCGTGTGCCACGGCAGAGACGACAGATCCGATCCATAGGTCTCTTTTCTTGCCTTTTCCTGTTAGCTTCACTATTTTGGTCCTTACTTGACCATGAGGTATACAAGAAACATTCTATCATTTTAGATCTAGTTAGGCAAATGATGTTGAAAACAATTAGGAGGTGGCACTGGTTGGTTTTCTACTGGCGCGTGTGACTTGCAAATCTATCTAGGCAAACAAACAGGCCCTTCGCTTCTGCCTTACACTATTTTTTCTATCCGGTGCTTGCTTGATTCTACATTTATGTTTTGTATGCTCTAGTGCTATTAGTGAGTCCTTATGGTATTTTGAACTTGTAATATATCTGAGGCCATATTTCTGTGCCAATGATGTCTACATGGCTGTTGGATGTATTAGGATGAAGCTCATATGTTTGCTTTTTGTGTCTTCTCCTTGTTGACAACCAAGTTATCCATTTGGTTCCAAACAAGATGAAGGCATCGAAAGCAAATCAATGTTTTGTGTCCATCATTCACATGACTGAGGCCACTAATGTCTAAGATGCACATGTTGCTATTGATACTAATGATGATCACTACCACTTGTTCACTAACATTCTACGAGTGAAAATTGAGGCAGCCTGTTTGGGTTGTGCAGATATGAGATGAGTTGTCCCTGCTATGTTGTGTTCAATGGCTGTGAGCCAGGAGTTTACTACAACTGGCCTGACTACCAGGAACAAGTTCATAGGTTTCATGATGCTTGTTATAAAAAGTACAACTCCTATGAAAAATGAATTCCTATGTTCAAGTCAAGAACCAACTCAAATCCACCCTTAGCTCATGATGATGACTTCTACCTTCAAAACCCAACAGTTGCTCTGCCCTCTTTGTCCTTCAAAACTGTTGTAATTGTAGTCCTCTTAATCTTTGTCTGTCTCCTATGAAAGAAGCTCTAAGCTCATGTACTAATTGTAAGTCTGATGGTTAGACTTGATTTAGCTAGAATTGTAATGGTTACAGCTCCATTAACTGCTACTCTAGTTTAAGTTATATATATCTATGTGGTGCCTTAGACAACCATAAGTTGATGCCCCAGACTATGTCTGGCTTCTTCTATGATGGAATCTATGGCCAACGAAACTTCACTAGCATCACCGGTGTTTATCCCTCCTTGTCCTTATTGTCCTTCACCATGAACAATGTAGCTGTCTCAGATTGCTGCAACGGCCTCATCACATGCTAGTGCCTTGGGGCTGATGGATACCGTTATGTCATCTACAATCTGACAACCCAAAAGTTGAAGGTACTACCGCCTAGAATCCATTCTATTAGTGAGGCTCGATTGGGGTTTGATCTGACAGCCTCCTCGCACTTCCATGTGTTTGAATATATGGAGGAGGATGGTCAGTGCATGGATGTCGACATCTACTCATCTAAAACTACAGCATGGATCTTTAAAGAATCTAAATGGGGCGAGGAGGCTGAGTGGACATTTTCAAAATCAGCAACTTTGTTTCTTAACGGTTGTCTGCACTATATTGGGTTCTGCGAGGGTTACCGTCATATACTTGCTGTGCTTATGGAGGGAAAGGCATGGAGGAAAATTCCTAATAGGCTACGTGGTTTTTCACGCTCCATCTATCAAGCTCAGGGTCACTTGTGTCAATGTACTGTTGGTGGTCGCAATATGTCCAAGCTTTTAATCTGGATCCTTGAAGACTATGGTACTAATAATAAATGGACATTGAAGCATACTATCAGCCTGCGTAAGTTGTTTGGAAAGACTAATAAATAAATGGGTTACTTTGATTTTGAGTCGTGCTACAACGGTTATAGTTCACCCAGAATGGAATTTGGTTTTCTTTGTTGGGGTTGGGGTGGAAAGAGTCATCATCGCATATAACATGGACAACAGAAAAGTTCATGTCATCCCTACACATTACATTCTGTATGGTAGACATGACATCCTGCCAGAAATCATCGGCATACCTTACTATCTTCCCTATGTTCCCTTGTTCTCGGAGTTGGAGACATTAGCAAAGTAGTAAATAAAGCTGCATTTGATGTATCTCTCTATCATGACATGTTTAAATGGATCAATGTTGTTTGATTGTCTATGGACATGTTAATTTCCTATTGGATGGATGTTGTCATTATTTTGCAGCAACTTTAACTTGTTTGTAATGTAAGCTAAGATCTGTGTAGTGTGTCAGACGCGTTCAAATCTACAGAGGTCGAACTTTCTTGCGTGTGTAGTAACATTTCAACACCAATGGCTCCTCTTTGTTCCCAAAAAAACACCAATGCCTCCTCTACAGTAGTGATATATTAACCGCCATGATCTCTTCCGCAACTCCACTTGTTTTCCATCCTTTCTCGAGCCCTCCCATTCTCACTGTAGATCTAAAATCGCCAAGAACATGCGGTTGTCTTCTCCAAACCTACTTCACTCTTAGACACAGCCATGGTGAAGGGCAAGCCTTCTACGAAGCACACACGGGAGGGGATGACACCATGCCCGTGGTGAAGGATGATGATGCCATGCCCGTGGTGAATCAAGATGAAGCTCTGGTGGATCCCTTTGGAGATAGAGACGATTGGACCGTTGGCATCATGACTAAGGCTTTCTTGAAGATCAGACATGTGCTACAGAACACCGGTCTAGGCACCCTCAACCAGCCTCGGTAGGAAAAGGTGAGCAGTTATGTCTTCATTTTTCACCAACTCATCGATGTCCTAGAAGAACTGCCAGCCTACCTAAATAAGAATCGCGCAGACAACGCGGAGTACATCCTCGCCTGCTGTTGGAGCTAGATAGATGGCTTTGACACTAGTATCTCGATGCAGCGAATCAGCACCGCCCACAACACCGAAAAGCACTAGCGCAACCTAGTTCGTGCTAATACTGAGTAGGTGGCCAACTGCATCACCACTGATGAGCAAAAGGGCCTCATGGTTATAGTAGAGGACAACGAAAACATTGATACCAATGACGAGGATGAGGACAGTGATACCAAGAACGAGTAAATAAAGTTCCATTTAATGTATCTCACGTTGCATTTGATCTATCTTCCTTATGTTGGGAGTACGGATGATGTTGTTACTCTTCCTTATGTATCTTCCCTTGCATTTTATGTCATATGTGTTCAAATGTACAGAGGTTTTGATTTGTGAAGTTTGATTTGCATGTCTGTGTTTACTTTTGTTAAACTTTGTATTAGGTGGGTTAAACTCTATTGAGCATGGTGTAGATCAGGTCCTTTGGTCAATTGGTAGCTGGTTTATAGCCCCTGTTGGTTGGTTTTGCCTATAGGTTTCTTTCAGGTACTCTTTCTGATCTATAGTATGGTAAACATGCATAACAAAATTCATTCGATCAAGTCTTGTGTCGATGTAATGCCTAACGGAGGAGCCACATAGCTATTCAAATTTTACAGCACACGCAAGAAAGTCCGAGCATCGTAAATCTGACTAGTTACATGGGGAAACCTGTTTAGTATGAATACATTCGTTGAATCCCTAAAAGGAAACAAATAAAATTGAAACTAGTTACATGTCTGGCCCATTAAAATTTACGCTGCTCGGACTATCAGGT